TCGTTAATCTGTTTGGATTTCGGTGTCGCATTTTCCATACATTGTTAAAAGCTTTTCAGATATTAGAACTTCTGTACTTGTTTGATTTATTGCCTTGCTTGGGTGAAATGATAAAAAAAGAAAAAAAAAGATGTTGAGGAAAATCCGAAGCAAGCCATACGAGAATTAGCGGTACAAGTAACAATTCGATAATAAACCAATTTCATGAACTCGGGAAAATGACTAAACTTATTCGGTGGGTTCCTCATAATTTCATTATTTCTCAGCTTAATCAAAGACTTGATCTCTGATCGATATTGAAGAGTAGGTTTGCTACTGGATCAAGGTAGAATAATTACTAATGATAAAAATTTCATTCTCTGTGATCGGATTTAATACATATAACAACAGTTAGCAGCTATAGAAAAACGATGACTCCACCACAAGAACGGAGACTCAGTCTTTGCATTTGGTCATCTATCATGAATTGTCAAGCCAAAACAAAACATTATCTACATTATTTACATGCGGACTATTGTCCTCATCTTTGTTGTTGTTATCACATTGAATTAATTAATCGGAGTTCCAAGTGATTTACTTATCAAAAATGCCGACAACGAAGGAAAATACAGAAGTGTTAATGGCTAAAAAAACAGAGAAAAACATTCCGTTTTCAACTTGGCCGATTCTTTTTTTTTTTCTACCTTCTTTTCACATCTCCTCTTAAAAACACACACAGTGCCATGCAGTTTTTAAACAAAACTTTGCTTTATTTTGGTAAAATTTTTGAATAGTTATCTGGAAACTCGCACGCACACACACACACACACATACACACACACACACACATATATATATATATATGAGGAGGCACGGTGGGGTAATGGATTGAGGAATCGCAGAGCCGAGTTCGAATTCCAGTCTAATCCATTACATTCCCTTACGTGCTAATACCCTTGGGAAAGGAGTGAATCCTCTTCTTCTCCCTCCAGCTATGGGTAAAATAGCAGGACAGACTGGGTTCTATAGCCTTTGATGGCAACTGGTCTAGGAGAAGGACAATACTGAATTCAAAACCTGCCAGAGGGTCGTTTGGGAACGTTGTGGCACGCAGGTCTCTGTATTCGGCCCTTGAAAAAGTGTGGATGGTCCTGCATGAAACCTTCACCACTATAAACAAATCTCATGTGCCGGTGTCGGGCTGTCGGTTCCCCTTGAAACTGATCTGCTTGACCCTCATACGTCGAAGTCGATGGGAGAGTCGACTATATATATATATATATATATATATATATATATATATATATATATATCTTATCTTACTTATTATAAAACGCAGATTGTGTGTGTGTGTCTGTACGTTTATATATTGGATCGGATTTCCTACATTTTTCAACCAATTTCAACAAAACTTCACAGGACTACGTAAAATTACCTTGCGGTGGTTCTGACAATTGTTTTTGCACGAAATCAATTTGAAAACACGATTAAGAGGCATCGCGAGAATGAAAGGGGGACAACTCATATCGAGTTATACTTATTATAAAACCCAGGTTGTTTGTGTGTGTGTGTGTGTGTGTGTGTGTGTGTGTGTGTTCCTTTATATATGGGATCGGATTTCCTACATTTTTCAACCGATTTCAACAAAACTTCATTTGGGCCGGGGGGGTAGTGTTTCTTATTGTCTTTTTTCTTTATTTCTACATTCAGAATGCTTTAAAAATTCCATTTACAAGACAATTGTTTATAATAAAATTCTATTCAATCGGTAGACTCATAACGATTGAAAACAATGTTTTTGTTTGAGTTTGGGTTTGACCAATTCGTAAAAAAAAAAAAAATAATTAAGACATGCGTGTCCGTCAACCTTAAACAATAATCTTTGTCAATTTTATTTTTCAGTCTTTATGATGGTCGATACTTGATCTATCTCTTACTGTTACATCCCCGGGCAATGCCGGGCTCTACTGCTAGTATATATATATATATATATATATATATATATATATATATATATATATATATATATATATATATATTAAATAGAGTAGATAAGTTGATCAATAAAACAAAGTCAAACGAAAGGGTACCGATGTAATCAGTACGAAAAGAACTTATTAATATTAACCACGTGACAAAAATGAAGCACGAAGATTGAGGTTCCAAGTTCGGAATTTCCGAACATGCCCGTGTTCTTCATCAACGGTAGCGAGAAATAAACAGAGCGACGTTGACGACTATCCAACATTAATTCTTGAGGCTGGGTATATATATATATATATATATATATATATATATATATATAAACGAAAGATGGTCCGCAGGTGCTTCTTACAATATGTAAATTTAATAGGCTGGTTAATATAATTTGAGGAATAATAAGCCAACAAAATGATAACAATATTGACAATTATATTTATTATATATTAAACTTTTGACTAAATTGAAGCACGAATTGAAGGATTTTAAAGACGGAATTTTACGCATAGAATATAATTTCCACAGGAAACACTCTAACGAGCAACAGCATCCCTCGGAAGAGTGTGTCCACTTCTTTGTTTATTCCTCGTCTCGTTGAAAAAGGATACAGGCGTGTCCGAAAATTCCAACTTTAAAATATTTCTTTTCGTGCTTCAATTTAATCAAAATATAATAAATATCCTCAGTCTTATTGCTAATATTGTTAGCATTTTGTTGCCATTTTATTCTTCAAATTTTATTAACCGGCCTATAAAACGTATATACATATTATTGTGAGACCGGAAACTACCTACACAATAGACTCTTCCAAGCCTATATTAAGTAGGCGACATAGCACTCTAGGGAGTCACACAGAGAGTCACACTGAGTCACACTGAGTCACACTGAGTGATAGAGAGTGACATAGTAAGCTCCACTTACACTATCTCTGTGACCTGTTGTTGATATATCTTTCTTACATCTAATCCGTGTTCCGTGTTCTACTTCTGTGGTCCTAACTTTGGCCCCACATCATATATATATATATATATATATATATATATATATATACACACGCACACACATTTTCTGAAAAAAACACCTGAGGAGACCGTAGTGGCCGAAACTGCGGTAGTGTTCTGGCCAACAGCATTTTTAAACATTATATATATATATATATATATATATATATATATAAATGGTAGTACTCGTTTGGAAAAACCTCGGATAGCTCAACTTGCAGTAGAACAAATCGGTACCCGAGGAAAAATTGGAAATAAAAAAAGAAAGACCCAAGAACATTAGAACAAGGCGAAAACAATCGTTAAGTTTTTAAACTCCAAGTCCAAAGAAAAAAGTACCCAAAACAAGTAAAATGTGGAATTATCCACGCGTTGTCTGTTTCACAAAGCAGCGCTTCTTGTGAAAAAAAGAATTGAGTTGAAATCAGACTAAGTCTGTCATGCTATTTAACCCATAGTTAAGGGAGAAGAGAGGGAATCATACATTTTCAATGGGTATGTGCTAACAGTTTCTTCTATCGCACTCCACGCTTGATCTTCAAAAAATGAAATGCAATGTCAATCGTTATTTTACGTTGTCTTAATTCCTGTTCTTTTATATTTTCTCATATTCTTCCAGATTCAGTAACCCATTGTGTCTTAGTGGCTTTATTGCATTACTTGTGGCAAAATGAATTTAAAAAAAAATCAAAGTTGTCTGGAAAACAAGAAACCGACAGAGAGTTCCACAAGGGAGAAGTATATTAAGATAATAAAAATATAAAATTCCAATGAATTTGGCGTAAATAAGTATCATAAAATTTGTCTATGAGAAAAAGTTATAATTTTACGACTTTCTTCGATTAATCATTGTCCTTTTAACAAATGTATTTTTGGTTGATTTCGTGGCGTAATTCAAGTGTATTAAATTGCAGGAAGGGATAAGAAGAGATTATGAAGTCTTTACTTTTTGTTTTGACGTCCAAACACGTTAACGCGTAGAATTTAATATCTGCACCACCTAATTCATGGCCCGTTTTTATAGCGAAGACAGATGCCATACCTTGACAAGGGAGGTAACCGTGTATTGCTCCTTAAGACTAACTGCCAAAAGAGATAATAACCCCAAACATTTATAATAAAACTAGGTTAAAAGCCGCCCTATCGTGCGGCATTTAAGTCAGCTCCCGCGGAGGGCTCTTGATTTAGCCTTCGGCTTGTTCAAAAAATTGAGAGTCCCTAAGTCTTTGCATATTCTTAGCATTGAAAGCTATCCTGGCTTCCGTTTGATCTGGGTTTTCATTTGCCCGGCACTTTCTTTTCCTTGCTGCAGCTTTGGCTCTTTTGATTGCAATCTGATCGTAGATTTCTTTTTACGAGGTATAATGCTGCCGTATAAAGAATAAACTACTGAAGAACTCAAAATTGATCGCTGTATTTAAGTATTGCATTAATATTTAAACTTACCTTCTAAAAGTTCAATGATGATTCTTCTGCCGCTACTTAAGTTAAAGATATTTTGATGTACGTAGGTCCTCACTTTCCATACAAACAATTATTTTTATTTCACGGGTGATGTTCGCTGGATGTTCTCAGTTAATTTTCATTATTCATTAATCTATTTCCAAGTTATAAAAATTGTTATCGTACAAAAAATACGTGGCTAAAACTCACATAAAAAATCGCCGAAAATAATCGCAATAATGAAAACTCGAGTATCCAAAATTTCTATAACATGAGTTATTGAAAGTTAAAGAGTTGTGCCTCTTTAATTGTAAAAGTGTGACACAGTGACACGGTGACATTCGCATTTATTATATAGCAGAAAAAACATTTTTATATACCATACCTATGAACACTAATGGGTATGTTCCAATCCTCATAAATACGTTAGACACTATAGTAAGTGGGGTTAATATGCTGTCTAAGAAGCCCACCATTAGCAGTGGTTTACCTACTTCACGCCGCTGGCGAGTATTGTATTTTGTTGATGTTATAAATAATATCATTTCATTTCCCATCTCCGTTTTGGTTATTCCTCATTCAGTAACCGTTCTTTAGTTACAACACAGTCACTTCATCTATCTATCTATCTATCTATCTATCTATCTATCTATCTATCTATCTATCACGGCTTGGTCCTATCTAACTATCTATCTAGCTATTTATCACATTGTTATATAAGGTACGTATGACAGCTAATGGGTATGCCCAAATCCTCATAAATACGTTGGACACTATTGTAATTGGGGGTAATATGCTGTCTACGCTGGCAGCGTGAGAAGCTCTTGCCGTGTCAAACTGTCTACCTTTGGGAAGTGAGGAACCCGGACGAGGTATGCCGCAGGGTAGAGTCTCGTCCGGGGAGGTAAACAGATACCTGATCACGCGTATGCGGAGGTCTACGGGCAATTTTTGCCCCAGCCCACGGCCTCAGATTTACCAAGATTACATTTGGCCTTGTGCCACATCTTACCTCGTCGGGAGGCAGGTAAATATCGTAATATGTTATCTAAGCCGTCCACCACTAGCAGTGGTTTACCTACTTCACGCCGCTGGCGAGTATTGTATTTTGTTGATGTTATAAAGATTACCATTTCATTTCCAACCTCCGTTTTGGTTATTCCTCATTCAGTAACCCTTTTTAGGTAACAACAGACATCAAGAAAGAAATCGTAACGTAAGTGAATTTTTGCGTTTTTCTTAAAAGAGAAAATGCTAACACGATATAGGAATGTGTTTTATGCCTTCTCTCCGAAGCCAAAAGACGAACCTAATGGATGTTGTAAAGGGCTGTCTTTACTCATAAGTAAAGCTCATTTGGTTGCAAAAGTGTATGTTCGAAGACATACCAAAGTAAGTTTCTATGTAGTGTTACTTTAGAATGTCAAAAGAAATGTGTTTCAATGACTAAAGATAAGAATATTGAATAGGAGAAATGGTAAAAAAATAAACATTACTAAATGCTACGCAAATTAGGAAGCCGTGGATAGCCATAATCTCACACGCTCTGAAAGGACACGGCATACAGAAGACGAAGGTTTTACATTTGTTTTCTCAGACAAATATTATATAGGTATGTATATACGGAGTTTCATTGTGTGTCTGTGTGTGTGGTTTCGCCATTCTTGAGGCAAAGGCTAAGCTTTTATTTTCGTCAGATTATTTAGAACAACTAAACATATTACTTACCCATGTCTGTGTCTCTTCATCAACGACGTACCACACAAGATGCGCGTAGAGACATAAGAGGAGGCAGATGCTCAGGAAACAGATTCCAATACCCAACAGAGCTTTCCCGCTCGCATAGAGCGCACTGGAAAAACAAACAACAAAAACAAAGGATAATAAACACAAACAACATAGATTGTTATATTTAAAGAGAAAATCCTAACAACACTTATACCTTTCGGTTTGTATTATACAAGACATATCATAGTCAACACCCGTGTGAAGGTTACAAAGAATTCTGTACTTTTTCACAGTGAACTAATGAATAGCAGCTAGGATTGAGGAAATGGAGAGACAAGTTCATTGCATTCACTTACGTGAAAGGAAAATCTATGATTCCATTTCTTTCTTATGGGTAAATAGGAGGACAGATTGGTATTTATAGCCTCGTTTGGCGATCAGTGTAATGTAAATGCTGCACTCTACTAATAGGGCTGCTCAGGCACATTTGTGTTTGTTTAACACCCACAGAGCCCACCCGTGGTTTTATACAGCAACTATGCTGAACGGATCAAGAGTCTGCACATGACACTTTTCCGATCGCCTCCTGACCGATGGCATCAAAAAGTCACCTTTGTGACAAATCCACCATGGTGAGATACGAACCCGGCTCTCATTGTCAGAAAGCGAACGGTCTTGTGAGTCCTCCCTCTTTAGGCAAAAGCTAGGCGAACTTCAAAAACAAATCCACCTGGCAAGAAGATAGAACCACCCTCCCTACTTTGAACCGAGAGAGAAAATAATGAACTCCTCGAGCTTAGTACAATGGTTCGAACACACACAAGACTGGGACACGGCACGGCGCCTTAGATCTCCCTGATTTCGGACCATTCGCCCATGGGTGTGTCACCCACGGCACTTTAGACGATGACGACCTTTTCGCAAACTGAATTTGTCCATTGGAGATAACCTCTCATTAATCTATTCATCATTAAATTTCTAGGAACTTATTGACTATTTCAATTTAAGCCCAGAAAATAAGTATTTTTAGGTGATAATGGCTCTCCATATGTTCCATCTGTGAATTGGCATATATTCTTGGGAAGAGTTTTAATGTGGCTTTCTCCACAGTTTAGAATTAATAATTTTCCTTCTCTTGGACTGGTTGCCACCCAAATATAGAAACACCAGTCCACTATTTAACTCATAGCTGGTGAATGCGGGAGTAAAATAAATTTATGCTTTTCCCAGGGGTATTTATGCGAAATTGCATGAAATACTCCAAGTTGGAATTTGAACTCGGCTCACCGACCCAAATTTCGACGCCGATGATTGATAAACTACCTGCGGCAATAAAGCCACTAAGATGCAAGGAATAACTGGGTCCGAAAGAATATGAGAAAAAGAAAAAAAAACATTATTAAGGAAAGAGAACAAGAAAAAGAACAGGAATTAAAAAGACAGAAGATAGCGATTGTCATTGCATTTAAATTGTTTAACATTAAACCTGACTGTAAAGGAAGAAGTCTTGATAAGCGAGAAATATAAGAGAAGAAACTGTTAGTATAGAACTTACATAAAAAATGTATACAGCAAATACATGTGTTTGAAATTTTTAATACTATGCTGTCCTTGTTGACTTGTTCCCATCCAAGACGAGAGAGCTCATTCTACATTGCTATTGTATCTATAGCTAGGCGGGTAAGTCAAGCATCGACTGGCAAATGAACCCGGCTCACCGATAATATTATCCGTGCTATAATTTTTAATCTGTGAATTATGGGGCAATGTAAATGTTCATCCTATGACTTATAACACAACTAAGTGATTACATATTCACCAGATGCTTCCATGCCAAGCGTTAATCTACCGGATACGTTAGTTTATGTGGGTCATCATTATCAGCGTACCTTGGGTAGGTAGACCTGGTGGAGCCCATCCCTCTCCTGGTCAAACCACAGCTGAAGTTTTCCAACTTGAAGGCTCGCCTTGGTCACTGACACGTGACTGCTGATTTAAATAGGGGAAAACCACTGGCTTAGCCGTTGACTTCCATCTAGGAAGCCTTGTTTCCATCGATAACTTTGTATCAATACAAAGGCTGCATACATAGCTATGGTGCCCATTCTATCTAGTTGGGTGTATAGCCATCCTTATCGCCGGAAAATCTTGTCAGGAACCGGTTTAGTTGCTGATGACCCGACTATGCGGCAGTTAGTAGTGGGTTATATGGTACCAGAATCAATTGTAGAGCGACCTGGCATAATATATTTGGGTAGATATCTGCCTATGTGTGTGTGTTTACGATTGCTTGATTGCAGCATGTCTGAGTAAACAATGGACAATGCGCTTTCTTATAACTGACAGTCACCAGAGACAGAAGAATTGAGGAAACTGGATGCTTTTCCAAATAAGTCGTTATAGCACAGGCAGAAAAAATGCATAAAGCTCGAAAAACAGGTGGGTTTAGAGAAGCAGCGAACGTGTTCAGGCTGCAAACAGCGTAGAACCGGACGATGATTCGTTTGAGAGGAAAAAATACACGATATTATCGGATTACCATTGCGCGCATCTTGTTAGCGCTGGCTTACAACGAATAACAAGTCAGTGCTAATTTTCTCATTCGCTAGCAATAATCACTTCTTTTTCGCAGGAACTGACATGGAGAATGTCTTCGTGAACATGACGTCTTATAGATGGTAGTGATGCAATCATAGAAAATAGCAATAAGAAACACCTGCTAACAATAAGTCAATCTCCACCTCTCTCCATCCATATATATATATATATATATATATATATATATATATATATATATATATATTCTCCTTTCTCTCTCTCTCTCTATATATATATATATATATATATATATATATATATATATATATATTCTCTTTCCATCTCCCTATTATAGAATACCCATTATTCACTTCTACACCAACCAACCTCTTCTTGTAGTTCTTACTTAATGGTTTGCAAATTATAGTTGGTATTTTGTCCCATTCTTCTTCGCATATGGTCGTCAGATCAGGGATGTTTGTTGGAGCTCTCGATTGGATTTGATTTTTCAAATAACGCCAGATTCTCGATTGGGTTTATATCTGGGGACTGACTTGGCCAATTTCAGGATATTTGCATTATTTTTAGCGAGAATTTCTTCGTAGATTTTGCCATGTGCTTAGGATCATTATCTTGTTGGAAGATCCAATCAGGAAGTTCAAGATTTTCAACCGAAATCATTAAATTTGCTTCCAAAATATGATATGCTGCGGCATACATTCTAACATCTGTTACTGAAATGTTGCCAGTACCTTTTACATAAAAACATCCCCAAACCATGATGCTGCCGCCAGCAAATTTCACTTTTGGATCTGTGTTCTTTTGTTTGAAGGCATCGCTATCGTTGCTCCGTACATGATTTTTAGAATTACGTCCAAACAATTCAATTTTGGTTTCGTCTGTCCATAATACGATTTTTCTTTATCCTTATATTCATCAACAAACTTCAATTTGGCATCTCTGTGTCTTATTAATAGCAGTGGAGTTTTCCGATGGGAGCGTGACTTTAGATTTTTCATATGAATTTCTTTGTTTATTGTCCATTTAGTGACATATACCTGATGAAAGCAAATCATCCTGCAACTCTTGACTAGTAACCATTGGATTTTGTTTTGACGCATTAATTTCCTTGAAGATCTTGAAGAAATCTTCCATGGAGCACCTGTTCTTCTTTGGTTTTCAACAGTTTTGAGTTTTTTATACCTTGCAACGAATGAACTATCAGTAGTAAATGGAATATTCAGGTTGTCTGAGATTTTCCTGTAACTTTTACCTTCTTTCCAGAGCTTAACAATCAGTTCTTTTTGCGAATTTGTTAATTCTTTACCTCTTGCCATGATAAAAAAAAACTTCTTGCACGAATATCAATTACAGAATGTACTGTTTATATTTTTAGGCTAGAAATAACTACTCATAACA